GGACAAAATGAAATTCAGATGTTCTGTAGAAGTGAGAAACCCCAAAGATGACAAGGTATTAAGGAAAAAAAAAAGAGGGATACTAAATCTGAACACCTAACGGCATCAGTGGAGATTGGCTCATGACATATGTTTACAAATAACACGCAGAGACCTCATTCATTATTTTGTGTGCTCAAACCAAGGAAGCAGCTATCAGTGTGAGCTTTCTAAGGACACAGAGGAGGCATGCCTTACCTTGCACATTTCCTTTCTCCTTCCAAAATTAATCAGATGAAATAGAGTCCCAAGAGGATGAAAACCAGAGCAGTCCCCAGTCCTAAGCTTCTAAGAAGTATTTATCACTACTTATCACTTATAAAGTTTTAACCTTGTAGTACAGAAAAGGCCAAGCATACAGCAAAGGGGGTAGAACAGCATTATAAACCTCTGTGTAGTCATCATTCAGCTTCAACTGTTTGAACTCACGGTCACTCTTGCTTCATCAATATTTCTACCTACCTACCTTCTCCCTTTCTTAGTATTTTGAAACCAACCCCAGATGACAGCATATAGTTTTATCTATAAATATTTGGGTATGGAAAGGATCCTCATCAGGGTCTTGTCATACCACCAATCCTTCTCCAAGTCTTCCAGCAGTCAGTCTCACAGATGTGCCCACAGGTGTGCCAGGCATGTTCAGGTTGACCCGGGATCTGCACAGCAGTGTCCTACCTCCTGTGCCACCTACTTTGTTATGCATTTCTAAAAGATAGGTACTCAAAAACAAACAACAACAAAAAATCAAACCATAATCACAATGCAATGATCATACCTGAGAAAATTAGCAATAATTATACACTAATAATTAGCAATAATTATATGAATTGCCCAGACACACTGCAAATTTCCATTTATTTCATAATTTTTTTAACACTTTTTTTAGGTTTGGTATCCAAATAAGATCATGTTCTTCAGTTTCTTTTAATTTACAGGTTCCCTCTCCCCTCATTCTTCAATTTATTTGAAGATTAGATTTTTGGGAACCGGCAGTTAGCGTAATGGCTATGTCGCTGGACTCCCACGTAGTCGACCGCGGTTCACGTCCCGGACCCGGTGGCTTAAAACTCACGCCGGGCACGTATGCGTGTGTGCCGAAGATCCTGAGAGGAGAATGGAGGACAAGGGATTGTGGCATGGCCATCCCCCCTTGGGGGTGATTTCTCGCTTTCTGTCTCTATGTCTCTCTCTGTCTGTCTGGCGAGCGCACGTGCCCTACAGTGAAAATCTCTCAAAAAAAAAAAAAAAAGACTAGATTTTTTACCTCCGGTTTCCTGTACACTGTATTTCACTTACTGAATAATTGTGTGTCCTCTGTCCTCTGCATTTTAAGGTGGTCAGTTCTAGGGGAGTACTTCCCAAATGGCAATCACTAGCCACATGTGGCTATTTAAATTAAAATTAAATTGAAGAGTCAGTTTCTCAGTCATGCTAGCCACATTCCAAGGGTCAGTAGCCATGTGGCCACAATATGAGTCAGCTCAGATAAAGAACATTTCCACCACTGCAGAAACTTATGTTAGACAACCATATTCTACAGGCATAATAAAGTTCTATGAACTAGCTTTGTACGGAAGTAAATGTGAAATCTCATCCACCAAGTCTTTGGCTCCCAGTTGATCTCTCATGCAGTAGCCACTTTAAACCTCCACAATTGGACACTGAAAATGAAATAAAAACTCAGAGGATCTCTACATTCTAGAATTTAAATAAGTGAGATGCTTACAAATACTTCTGTTATTTGCTTTTTACAGTTTATTTATTCCATGGGAAAGAAATAGACAGAAACAGAGAGAAATAAAGAGGTGCCCCCACAACAGGGTCTTTTTGCCAAAATCCACCCCCTGCCTCAGCTAGCCAGGACCACAGGTGTGCACTCATGTGCCTGGCCTAACCACGGGGAATTTGGGACATGAACTCAAGACTTTCTCATATGGCTTCAGCATCATGGAACACTGCATTATTGCTGCCACTACTGTGGCTGGACATCATCTTTTTTTTTTTTTAAGAATATGTAGCTTGTTTATTTTGACAGATGTATAATGTTCCATTTGAATGCTTCATAGCTAATGTGTTACACTGTTAACATTTAGATTATGTTCACTTTTCTGTTAACCCCTCCTGCCAACACTGTGCAGTGTTTCCAGTTTCATGTATCATTACCACTACTAAATAGTTTCAGACTTTCTATTTTACCAATATGAATTCATATATATTCAATATTAGTATAACTACAACTGTGAAAGGAGAAAGAATGGAATAGAGAGGGGAGAAATGGCTTAGCTCAACGTACAGCATTTTCTTTCTTTGTAATAATTAAGCCAATATGGCAAAAAGTTACTATTTGTTTAAGGTGAATGATGGATCCAAAGGAGTTGATTATATTATTTTTAATATTGTTTAGTAGATTTACACAAACAGAATCAATATTTATTTTATAATCACTTTTTAATGCAAGGATTTAAAAAATTATGCTGCATTCAACAATTTTTTGAAAAGGGAATTATCAACTTGGTGTTTACTTGCTTTTTTTTTCAGTTTTCATTTTTGTTTGTTTGTTTCTTGGCATTTCACTATAAAGGGAAAACACTTAAAGGGACAATCCATTGATTATATGTCCTAAATGATCTTCAGCTCATGGAATATTGCAATCAAGCTTTATTTGGTAATAATATTGCCAACTAACTCATTTACTATATATTTGTATGCTATAATGTATATCACATTGCATTTTCATCCTCTGTGGGTGATATAAACTAAGAAGTTTATATCATAAACTTATGCCATAAGCTTTGTGAAGTATTTTGGATGAGTGTTCATTTACTCATGAATTATGTGGACAATTTCTTGTCTCTGACATGGAGGCGTGCTAACATGAATGTCATCATATTTGCAATAATTGCTTTAAAATTCCAAACTAGGCGTCCTTTAGAAAGTACAACTGTAAAGCAGCAAAGAATAGTCTGAATTGTCAGTCCAAAAGTAATTTTTCATTCCTTGCATGTATGGAGGCACAGTGGTAGGCCTGTGAGGGACAAGACATAAAGACACACAAGGACTGGCCCCTGCACCTGAGAACTTAGTCAAGCAATCATTTCCTTTTACTAGACTAACTACGGAAATTAGACAGCCTCATAGTCTGAAGCTCACTGTGACTTCCTTCTTTGTAGATCTTTATAACTTAGTTTGAAGATCATTCATAGTCATTCATCACTGTCGGTCTCACTGACCTCTGGCCAAAAGCAGTAGCACTTTGACCCAGGCTGTGGACCTCAACTCTTCCTACTTCAGGAAGCTGGTGGCATCAATGACTTCAAATAAAACCTTTCTGGAGATCAGTGATGGGCATGAGGGGGAAAGAGCCTAAGCAGAAAAAAAGAATGAAGTGGGGTACTCAAGAATAAGGGACCTTGGCATCCATGATTTTTCTTCTTCTCTTCCTTCCTTCCTTCCTTCCTCCCTTCCTGTCTCTTAAGATATTTATTCTGTTTCTGAACTAGGAGATAAAAAAATAGTGGGAAAGAACAATAGGCCAAGATGCTAATAACACATATTCTGCCACCAGCCTAAGTCTTCTCCACGGAAGAGCTTCTTTGGGTTGAGATTCTGAGTAAATCACAGTATCAAAGAATTCAGTGAGGACATACCTCTTATGTAGATAAATAGCCAGAGTGATGGATGGCCAGTGAGCAGGTGGACGGTCGACTGTGTGAGAGTGTGTGTGCCTGTGCACATGCAGGTATCTACTCATGTACAGAACGAGGAAAAGAGTGATCTAAGCAGCAAAGGTCAGCTACATCTGGAAGTCATTCACACTTCATGGTGTCTAAACTTCAAACAATGCAGTTTTGAAAGCCATTTAGTGGCCAAGTCCTTAGTACAGGACTTCCTAAGATGAGAAATTCAGCTCATAAACTAGAGATGAATCTGGCTACAGAACATGAAAAGAGCTATTTGCAAACTACAGTCCAGTAGGGGGAGTGTAAATAACTCAGAAACACCTGGCTGATATTTCTCTTGAGGATCCCAGAGGATGAATCAGTTCAGAAAGACTTGGTTAATTTGATATCATCAGACAATTTGACAAGTCCAGAACACTGCCAGGGATGGGGAGGTGAAGGTGGGAGAGAGGTGGATAGCATGCTGGTGGCATCTCAACTACTGTGTTCAAGAAGTAATCATCTCTCTGCCAGTGGAGGAGAGCTAGGAATATGCTACATGTTGCAGTTACATCTTCTAGGTCAGACCAAAGCACCTCTTCCATGAAGTTGATGGTACATGTGTATGCTTGATATGGAAGACAAAATGCCTTTTATTCATGTAGTGGGAACAAAAAGGCAAAGTATAATGTAATGCTAAATTGAATTGAATCAAACATGAAAAAGACAGGCAAGGTGGCAAAGTAGTTAGCCACTGTCCATGGACCCATATGGAAGATGCCAGGTCGTTCCCATGATCCTGACCAACTGGGAAGCCCAGAAGGTGATCTCGTCAGGAGAGCCTGTTGAAGACACTTGTCTCTCACTCTCACAAAAGAAAAAGAAAGTTGTAAAAAATGTCAAAAACTGGATAAAGGAATTAAACCTCTAATAAGTAAAAGCATGAGAAAACTCATATTGTGCTTCTGGAATTGATTCCCAGGACAAGCCACTTCCACAGTGTGAGCCTCTCTTCCACATCTGGAAAAGAGGGACAGCAGTATTTCACATAATTATTTTAAGGATTAAAGCAATGTAAACAGAAATGTTTCCTACATGTCATAGACAATGAACTAGTATTTATCTTTACTATTTTTAATTTTTAATAAAGAGGAAGAATAAACATTGGGTACTGAGTCACATCTATAGCATTAATTCTCCCTCATCTTTACAGTCACATATAAAGCTAGTCATGAGTGAAAAGGCTGGGTTTCAGGCAGCCAGTGCCTTATGCTCAATTTCCTCTTTCTTCCTCTTCTGCAGCCAGCAACTCCCTGAAGAAGCGATTCAAGCGGAGGGAGATCGAAGCCATCCAGTGCGAGGTGCGGAAGATGTGCAACTATACCAAGATTCTGTCCACCAAGAAGAACCTGGACCACGTGAACAAGATCCTGAAGGCCAAGCGGCTGCAGAGACAATCAAAGACAGGCAACAACTTTGTTAAAAAGAGGCGAGGGCGTCCCCGGAAGCAGCCTACCCAGTTTGATGAGGACTCCAGAGACCAAATGCCCGTGCTGGAAAAGTGCATTGACCTGCCCAGCAAAAGGGGGCAGAAGCCCAGCCTGAGCCCGCTTGTGCTGGAGCCGGCGGTCAGCCAAGACACCATCATGGCCACCATCGAGGCGGTCATTCACATGGCGCGGGAGGCACCTCCTCTGCCCCCACCTCCCCCTCCTCCCCTCCCACCCCCCTCCTGCTCAGTCCCCTCAGCAACCGCCCCCGCAGCAGTCCCTTCCCCAGGAGGAGGAGGTGAAAGCCAAGAGGCAGAGGAAATCTCGAGGCAGTGAGAGCGAAGTCCTTCCCTAGGTGGGCGTCTGAACCTGGGGCTGGGCAACTGACACATTGGAAGTGCAGTGAGCCGGGGTGGGGGAAATCCCCACTGCAGGGACATCTATGCCCTTCTCTCCAGGAGCTGAGCAGGCAGAATCAGGCCAGATGACAAGGTTGAGCCATCAGGAGCTCTTGGGAAAACAAAACAGGGGGACGACCTTCAAGAGCAGTGTGTCTGCTTCACAGCAGTTCGCAGCCCAGCGGCACTTGGGTCTCTCTAGATCCTTACAGGTGAGCAGAAGACCATCAAGAAGGAGGAGGCTGATGGTACTCTCTGACCGCCACCGGCCTCCCACATCTGAGGTGCGCCCTTGTTTCCAATTTCATTTGCTGGCCAGGGAAATCCGAAGGGAAACACCTTCAATTAGGAAACATTCCAAGGGGAGAAAAGCTGCAAATTTCTCAACTGGCTTTGTTGTAACTCGCTTCCATTTCATTGGTTTTTATTCCTTTTGGTTTTCAAGATCTACTAGGCTTTGGTGCACCAACATTATCTTCAGGTGGCCAGAATCTTTCCATTAATGATACAGTTTCTCAGATGGAATCATGTGATCAGAAAGTGGAATCCTAGTGACAGGCAACTTCAAACTTGCATCCATATTCTTCTGTTTGCCTCCTCTATTGCACTACACTGATGTTTAGCATCATCTGTTCCTACCTTTCTTTTGCGCACTGTACTCCCATATACCTTGTCATTAACTTACTTGCTGCCTTCTTTGTCTTGGTAAACATCTAAATCATGTAAAAAATCTGCCCTGTATTGTAAAGTTCACTTGGCATGCTGTCTCGAGGAACCAGGCTTTGAACACAATCATTGTGGAACACACACTCAGTATTGATAGAGCCTTTTTAATAAGTGACTCAGCAGCCAAGGTTATGTTGACCCAGGTGTCAACTAGGTTATTTTTGTACTCAAAACATATCACCAGAGAATAGGCAGAATAAAATGGTTTTAGAGCCCCCAGCAAATGGAATAACTGAGAAATTGCCAAAAACTGAAACCACAGACCCATCAGAAAGACAAGTGTGTAGCAATGCCTTGGTATGTAATCTTTTTCATTCAAATAACTATCATAGGTTGTTGAAAAAGGGAAACAAACAAACAAAAACAATAGAAGATGTCCATCCTCTTGATAATTATTTCTTATGAGCAAATGGGAATAAGTGTTCTTATCTGAAAAAAAAAAAAAAGAAAAAAGAAAATGTTCAAAGGGTATCACCACTTCAATTGTATCAAGCCACCTTGGACAAAGAATCCAAATTGTGGTTGCCTTAATAAACTAAAACCTTTTTGTACATAATGTAATTATAAATCTATCAGTCTGCATGGATGCAAACTGTGTGTGACAAATCGTCGTCTAAATGGTCAATTTCAACTGTACATTTCTCATCCAAGTTGTACTCTACCCACTGGTTTAGCGTGGACAGATACTCCATCTCTATTATCCATTTCCACAGCCCAAGTAAAACAGGTTAAGAAGACTCAGACTGAATATGAAGTTATTCCATTGCCGTAGATGTTTTTTGAAAGTCAGATGTGGAAATTTCAAATAAGTATTTCAATTTCCTCTTTTACTCCTCCCTTTTACCTTCCCCAAGACATCAAACACCTGGCATGGTAGATTATAGAAAGAGAGACACTGAGAGAGAGAATTACATTTTCTGATGGGAATTAGACTATCTAGTTTACTTCCAAATTAAGTTTCTTTACAGGAAGTTGGGACCAGCTGGAAATTGTATTATCACTGCAAAACACAATATTATTTCCTTAGAGATAGATAGATTTTTGTTGGAAACATAAGAGAATATGTGATGAGGTATCTACGGGAGTAAATTTTAAAATCTCTAGTTAATTTGCTTGCAAACATCACAGCTCTGTATGGCACCAACTGTTGGCTGAAATTACCCACAGAGTTATCCTGTTCTGCACTGTCACTGTGGACTTCACGTCATTTGCTGCCCACTAGGTCAGTCACATTTAATCCTAGCAATATGTAAGTTTAAAGGACTGCATTCCCCTGTACTCTAAAGCTTATATCCTAGATACTCAGTTTATGACCTGGGCTGACCTTTGGCATTTCACACAAGTTGAACAGCAAAATCAAACCAGCCATTTTCAATTTGTCATTTCCAAGCCATGTTTGAGCCCTTCCAAAGTCACCAGGGAGGAAGGTTTAAATTGGCCCTTCTCACCTTACCATTTCTATGAAAGAGCAAGCATTTTCATTCCAATTAAGCCATAGAGAGGTTTCTCTTCCTGTTGAATGTTGAAAAGCATTTCCTTTATTCTTTCTTTTGCCCTTCCTCTTGTCCTGTGTTGCACTCTCTCCACAACCAACACTGTAAGCAGAAAATCTTGCAGACGAGAAGGAGCTGGCACTCAATACACTTCTTAAAGAAGCACTCAAAGTTTAAGGAGCATTCATCTCTAGATGAGAAGTTCCTAATAACTTTGGGATACATTAGAACTTTTAAACCAATGCAAGATACTCCAGATACCGCAGAGTGGCTGTCTTCCCATGAATTTGGGTCTGTGGCTATTACATGAAAACCCTAAGAATAGATTAGAAAACTGCAGAGGACAAAAGCTGAGGCAAACAGCCACTTGCAGGTAGAAGCAAGTCTAATCACTTACCCAGCTTCCTTTCTGTACCACCCAGTTCTTCCTGAGTATCATGTTACTTTTGTCTCCTCCTGCTTTTCATTAACCTTCCTCATCCCATCAGAACAATCGTTTCCTTGTTCCCTAACCATCCCCTGTCCTTTAGCATCTCTTCTCTTGTGCAGGCTCACTCACTCAACACTGGTCAATCTAGTTCCACATCTAGTTGGTTGCAGAGCCAGGAAGAAAACCCAATTCTCCTGACCCAGATTGTGAAGACCTTTAGCCACCAATACTGCCTTCTGAGGCTGCGTTTTGATTTTAAGTGGAAGGCCCTTGGGATACATAGCACCACAAAATATTTTGTAGTCAGAGAAACTACTTGATTTTCACTTTCTTTGCCCTTAGAATAGTAACTATCAGCAAACAGGTGGGGGGGACCCAGTGTTTGATTAGGATCAGAGATGAAAAACTATTGAAATCTAGATATCAAAGCCTCCTTCAAGGTGATGATAGATCTTTAATCCACTTTAGTAAGCGGCTAGAGGGCCACTTACTTTTCAACCCCTCATCTCAAATGAGAGGAACAAACGTTTTAAGCTCCTCAGATAGCCTGGCTTTGGCTGCAACCCAAGGAAAAAAAGGTCAAAGGGAAGGAGAGCATGGCAAGTGCTGGTGTGTGACTTGGCAGGACCAGGACTCAGCAGCCACAGACATCCCAAGGAAGGTGACTAAGGGGCCAGCAAAAGACCAGCATGGTAACTTGGCTGCTGTCTGAAGTGGAAGGCCATGTTCAGTGGCAGTCAGAATTTGTGTCCTACACATTGCTGAGTCTATAAATGTGATAAGCAAGTGGTGACAGAATTATAGTATAAGGTGATGTACTACATGCAGATCATAAAGGATTTGGTTTTAAGACTTAAGTAGAAAATCCCACTCCTAGCTTATTACTCAACAATATTCAGATAATGAGCTTTTGGAGAATATT